CCTGATTTTAAAATGACCCTACTTAATTTTTTGCCTTTTGTGGGCAAAACTATTAATGAACATTATGGCTCTTTTGCTGTATGATTTTGTAGCTAGCCATATGCATAATCAATATTACGGTTTTGGATAAAAAAAACATTGGAATTTGAAATGATAAAATTCCCCGAGCTAAATGAATGGAATCGAATATAGATATGTTTGATAAATCTAATTGATAGAATAACAAATATTTTATAAATTAAGTGATAAGTTAGTTGATACATAAAACTCAATGGACGTTTTAAAAGTAGTTGGTGGCTAGGAACTGAAAGCCTAACCAATATGATAAAAATATTTAATAAAATTAAATAATAAATTAGTTGATACAAAAATTATAATCGGCTTTTTTCGAAACGTTGCATGAATAAGTAATTGATATAAGCTCGATCTTTAAGAAAAAAATCGTCCGACCAAACGATCGAGACTTATGTGAATATATGAAATTTATAAATTTAATGAAACTATAAACCATATAAGTAACTTATAGGTAATCAGTTATAAGTTGACTGATAGGGCTTAAAAGACTGTAATTATAGTTTTGAGGAGAGAAAACGTTAATTAAATATAAAATATAATATGGAGACATATCAAACTATAACTTCTAAAAAATAGTTTGGTCGTTGGGACATTTGACTTATTTGAGCTGGCCACGCCACCGTCTAATGATGAAGGTGGCGCCACCTGTCGCCGCCTTGTGCCGGTCTGAACAGCACGCCCTTCACCTGCCCACATGGTACGTTGGTACATAATAAGATGAACTTGAATTCATATTCAAGAAAATTACAAAAAGAGAGAGAGAGAGAGAGGCTATTAATGCCAATCTGTATCAATTTAAAAACAGAAAAAAATTAAATTTTGAAGAAATAATAAAAATTGCAAAACACATATCAACTTAAATACTGTTGATCTATAAACTATTACGACAAGAAAATGATCAAATTCAAACGGAAATATATTCCAATCGAATTCCAACGCTATTCCAATAGATATTTCAATGTTATTATTTCCTTTAAAATTATTCCAACGGAAATTCCTACAAAAATATTCTGTTGGAATGATCAGTTTTCCATTGGAATTTCCGTTGGATTTTGACAATTCTAACGGTAGATTTTCCAACGGTAGTGGAAATAAAAATTCCAACGGAAATTGCATATTCCAACGAAAATTCCTATGGTGAAAAGCCGTTGGAATCATCAAATTCCAGCTAAAATTCTAATGAAAAATACATACCAACGGAATATTTTTGTTGGAATTTCCGTTGGAATCATTCCAACGGAAGCTATACCATTGGAATATCCGTTGGAATTTTCATTAAAATATACTACTATAGAATTTTTCGTTAGAATATAACAATTTTTTTTGTAGTGTATATTGACACAATAAATAAAAACATATTTGCATGTGTGCATGTCTATGTAGACCTGCTTTGTATCTAATACAAAAATGCATGTGATTGATAAAATTATGGCCTACTATTCTATGGCACAATCCATGTGAGTGACCCATTTGTTGTTAACCCGACACAATTTAGATGGTATTTGGCTAAGGAGTTCGTTTATTTTGAAATCTTCTCATATTCGAGATCGGACTTCAGCTTTGAGCCCAGCTACACTCGACTCGTCGATTGAATCAACTCAAGCTCAGTTTGTTTTTCAATATTAACAAAATTAAGCATTAATGAGTCGAATTAAGATAAAAGTTCATAAAAGTTAGTAAAAAAAAATCTTATTCTTGAGCATTAACTAAATAATAACGAGTTCGGCTCACTTATCACACGAACAATTTGTTTCGTTTGACGGTTCTATTTATGACAAAAAAAAGTACATTTAACTAGAGAATTTTAACTACACAATTAAATATGAGAAAAATCATCACAAATATAGGTTTATGTAATACTTACACAATACCTCGTATGTGACACCACGAAGAATGCTTTTACTATCTTATAAATAGAGCTACAACTAGGCCGGTTTATAGGCCAAACCGGTTTACGGATTCAAGTTGACAAGTCAGATTACGATATGTGGTCATAGTTATAAAACATTTCAGTGGTAAATTTTTGTAGGCTAACCCTCTTCTACCTACGACTGATTAGAATTTAGGACTATATTCAGACAAAAGATTGTAACTTGTCAGCAACGTACCTTTCTTTTTCTTACTATTGCTACTTTTTTATTAAAAAGTTAAGAGGTACTAATTTTTGCTACGTAATCCTAATTAGGAAAATTCTCACAATCATACCAGATAAAAAGAAAAAGCCCTAAAAAGATGAGCATTGGTCAATTGTTGAGTCCAATATGGAGACCTCTCTATGGTAAAGAAGAGTCACGCAAGTTATGCTCTAAGCAGTTTAACGATTAGTCAATCCATCATATCTATACTTATATAATAAGGTGTACCATTTACGAAATTTAGTAAGTTGAAAAGTCAATGCAATAAATGCATTACTATTTTGAGCAACATAATATAATATCATATTTATACTTATATAAAAAGAGATTCTATTTATTACATTTACTATCTAGAAAAGTCAACTGCATTAAATACCATTACTATTTTGGTATTATAATATTTTATTTATTTAATTAATTTATTTATTTGTTTTATTTTAAAAAGGTAAGTATAATAAGAAGATTTTAATAATAAAAAAATTAAAATAACAAATAAAAATGTACACTTTGACTTATTTGATTATATTTGGTATTTGATTATACCAAATATATTCTTATTTATTATATACATTAAATACTTACCAAAGTATTTATTTGTTTTATTTGTCAAAGTTAAGTTTAGATTTGTTTATATTATCAAATCATAAGAAAATATTAAATCCATATTGTAACAAAAAAAAATCATATAATTTTATAACATTTCTACTACAGTATTTAACAATATTTTTTTTTATTATATAATAAAATAATAATTAAATATTATATGGTTAACAACAACAAGTAAAACTGTTACTTTATCTTATATCAAGGGATAAATTTATATGCTAAAATTAAATTTTTATTAGTATAAATGTTTTAGTGAGATAATATATTAATTATTGTACAAGCTAGCTCTAACATGCTTATATTTAATGTTTTCAAAAATATAGAAAAACTTATAATAACTCTATTGTTTTTTAGATTTTAACGTTGATTAAAAGAGGTAAAAATTCCTAATTTTTTAGACTTAAACGTTGATTAACACCATAGATTGAGAGTCTATATTTAGTAAAATTCCTAATTGTAATAAAAAAATTAATTTTTGCTATATTTTAGAATATCTTTAAATTCATTATAAAAAAAAAAAGATAAAAAAAAACTAAAATGAAAAAAACAAGTCAGCTATATATCGATTTGTTGTACTCCTCAAGTCATATTCACAATTTGGTTACAAGGAAAGGAAACTCATTGATCAAAATATTATTTTGTCAGTAGTCTTAATGTACAAGAGACTTTAAGACTCCACTTGAATATTATAAAACTTTTATTGAACATTGTACAATTTTCTTGCGTATTATAAACTTTTATTGAATATTGCATCTTATAATATAATATTCTCCAAATAAAGATATCCGGGGTCACGTACTATATATATCCCGTACATTTTTTTTTATTCATGTATATAATTATAAGCCTGGATAAATAGCCTTAAAATTGTGCATCTCGTGCATTGCACGGGCTCTGTACTAGTTTTCAAAATAAAAGTAAATATTTCTATTACAAAACATTATAATTTCTCAATATATTTAAAAACTAAATATTTTAGTACGAAAATGTACATATATGTAAAAAGACATACTTGTATAACGGCAAATTTAGTTTAAGACCATCTCCAATCTCCTACTCTACTATAGAGTTTATGCTCTACTCTAAAGTCGAGTATGCCAAAATTTAACTTTGGTGTCTACTTCACATCGCATTTTACTCTACATGTAATATATTAATACAAATAAAACTTAAATACAATTATAAAATAAAATTTAAAATTATATTAAAAAATAATTCTTTTATTAATGTATATTTTGTAAAAATAATATTTAAAAATAAAATTAATTATTACTATTATTTTTTTTTTAAAATGTAACATGGTGATATTACCACTTTGCATATAAAGCAATATTGTTCACATCTTCATAGTAGTACAAAAATATAGTATAATATTGAAGCACGTTTTTTTTTTTCACTACTCTACAATAAAGTTGCAATGTAGTAAAGGACTCAGATATTCCTCTACAATTGGCAAAATGCTTATTTTTCTTCATCTTCTTTGGCATGTGGCCGAAATACTTAGTGTATGTTTGGATGCACTTTTGTAATGAACTTTTGACTATAAAAGTCCATTTACTGTATAAAAAGATGTTTGGTGCAAATAACAAAATGGACTTTTAAAAAAGTAACTCCCATAAAAAGTCCATTTCAAAGAAGTTTACATTGATAACTTCTTGAGAAGTCACTTTTCAAAAAGTCCATCTTAAAATGGACTTCTCAATAAGTGTTTCCAAACAAGCCCTTAGTCATTACGCGTCACAGATACATTGAACCAAAAAGTGCATATATTCCTCAAAAGTATATCACACATTGATTCCAACTTGGGAGTGTTAAACGTGCACAAAAATTTCCATGCACAATAGCATTATTACTAAAGTCTCCCTAAAGGTTGGCCATTTGTACCGTCCAAGTAGATTAGGGCTAAACACATCCCAATTATGTAAGCCACAAAGCAATTTTCAACACGCAATTAAATTTGGGTCTGGAACATTTTCATTACAAAACCTGAATTTTACTAAATATATCAAACTAAGACCTGAAATCTAAAAGTCATCAAAAGGGGGCCTAATTTTCAAACTTTCTTTCAATAGGTACTTGAATTTCAAAACTTTTTCTCAAAAAGTCCAATTTTTATAACTACCATTATTCCCAAAACATTTCAGAGAGAGAGAGAGAGAGAGAGTGAGTTGAACCAAAAAGTTTCACCGTCAATGCATTACCTGAAATAATGTTCACTAAAACAGTACCAAAAGCCAACAAAATGAAGGGGGGGGATTTATTTACCTTACCCCCTTGTTGATGCTGAATGTAATAATGCCCAGAAAAAATAAATTGGGAAAAATGGCAAGAATATTATATCACAACTGTAGAAACAACTTAGCTGCTTCATCTAAACAACTATACACATTATCCATCAAATATTGCGTACAGAATACATGAAGGGAGAGTATAAAATAGTTACGATAAAAAAAAAAAAAAGAAAGAAAGCATTACTCGTCCAATAAGTGGTCGGAAGGTATTTGACCAAAAATGTCTGGGCATGCTTCCCAGTTTCCTTGTTCTCTAGCTTCCCAGTAGCCTCCAACATACCGATATGCGTCCGATCCTTTGTCTTTAGCGAACCATCGTGCTTTCCAGCCTTGTTCTTGCATTTTTCTAGCCTGGTTAAGATATTAAAAAAAAGAGTAGAAAACCAGGAGAAAAAAAGTTAATCTTTTCAACATAACGAAAATCCACAGGTGATGAGATACACACTTGAGGTTTGCATTTGTTTGATAAATATAAACGGACTCAACTAAGTTTACCTAGTAAAATCAGCAATATGTGGAGATGAGATATTTGTAATTTTTTGAAGGATTACTGGGTCATTTTGTAAACGGGCTAAACTCAAGAAGACATATATTTTGTTTTATACTGTAGGTTTCAAATGATTATGGTTCCATGCATTTGGCTCTAAGATTAGAGGAAACACCCATAGTCGAGGGTGCTATAGTGACGGGGATATAAACTGTTGACTCAACTTAGAAATAGTTTAAAGATTGTATGTCAATTTCCAATTCGTCATGGAGAATTACTGGCAAACAGGCATGCTTAGAAAAATCATTCACTTAAATGCCAAACAAGTTCCTATGAAGGATTCGTTTTTTGTGCATCTATTTTTCAAGTGGACAATAAATTGTGTGTGTTAATGAGGCATTCCACAAATTAGTTACCTGCCGTTGCCGCTGCTCTAGCCTCAATTTTTCAGCATTAGCCATCTCATACTCTCCATTTCCCAGGCACCTCTGATCAGGCCTAAGCCTAGAATCTGTTGGAGGCAGCTTTTCCTGCAATAAGTAGATGTTTACATATAAGATCTTCAAATCTAAAAACCCAGAGGATAAGCAAACTGCCATATGCATATTCAACTTATCAACACGATTCCACTCATTTCAAGCAACATGCGGATTATAAGGGAATAATAATAATAATAATAATAATAATAATAATAATAATAATAATAATAATAATAATAATGTATTATTATTATTATTGTTATAGACGAATAAGTTTGTAGGAGGGCCTTACACGTATATCAATATCTAATTGCACTTATTGGTGTAAAATGCAACTACATGATGAAAGTAGCAAACACAACATAGGAAAACTAGTAGATACAGGAGAAGATCCAGTGCTAGGCTTCAATGCACACGACTTTTTCTAAACAATCACCTTCAGCCCAGGGATGAGCTCATTGAGTGTAATAGCAAAGCGTGTGAAATTATAACGCGTAGGGAACTTGGGAGGCTTGTTACGTTTCCAAAGCAAATGAGACTCCGGAACAGATTCAGGAGCTTTTCCTTTGGCAGAGCAGTCCCCATCAACATAATGCATGCTCTCATCCCACTTTCCAAACAAAGTAGCTACTGTCTTTCCACCTTTGTCTTGGACAACTCCCTGGACCTGCATTGCCAAACATGAATTAAGAAAAGCCCTAAAATAATAGCTATCGAGCCCAGCAAGTGTTTTTGCGCAACGGAAAATGGTATTTAGAAGCGGAATATGTTGGCATATAGTTGGAAGCTATTGATCTCCATAATTAGTATCAAATACCAAGAAAGAGATAATTACAAAAGGTAATTACCAGAGCTGGTATTAAAACAATTTACAAATAGCAGTCCTTAGGAGGGGTAACCTATTAGGCAAATACGAACCTCTAGAGGTTTCCAGTAATAAGTAGAATTTATTGCAATTAGACTCAACCTCAATGTCGTACAGGGGTAAAATTAAACTACAGATATGCTTTCCTAATTACTTCACTGGCATGTCAATTTATTTCTAAAGGGCACAAATCATCAACTTTTTATGCATAACAAAGACATTACAATATAAGCAGAGTACCTGGTGAGGATTTCTATCAATGATAGACTGCTCCTTGAATTTCAGTTTGCAAGAGTAATTACGATTCCCTTGTATCCGCATAGTTCCATAGTGGTCGCAGTACAATTTCCCCAGAATAAGATTGTATATAGACGTTGTTACCTGAAATACGAAAGTTCAATATATATATATATATTTATTTTTTTTTACCACAACCACGCAAAGGAAAATGAATATTCAGCGTTTCCAACTGTACCTTGCTCCACTGGAAGACTTCTCCATCATCAAACTCAAGAGTTAAAATACCAACAGGATCAAGCTGAATGGATCGACCCCAAAATTTGCTTTTCAGGTTGCTATCACCATAGAACGTCCAGCCTGTACCTTCACAATGACATGCTACAATCATGGGATGGTGACTCACCTGAAGCAAAAGACAAGGACATTGGCTACTTGTTTGGTTATAGATAATGTATAAAAATATATTCTTTGCTACAGTTGCATGCAACCAAAGCAAGTCAACACACATCATTATTTTACTTGTCACAGGGAGCATATAATCAATCATTACATGGAAAAAAAATCACAGGAATCACGCTAAAAATTTTTCCTCAATAAATAATTCGACACCTTCTCTGAGAAAAATCGGAGTCCTTTATCCGGATAATCCGCCTCATAAGTCTCGCCTAACAATGGATTAAATGGTTTGCAATTTCTTCCTTCGGTAGAAGCATATCCAGAAACAGCAAATGCAGCCACATTTAAAATCCTCATGAGACTGTTACCCTATGCAAAAAGTTATAATTAGTGATGAACTGCAAAGATATTCACATGTAAAATCAGTCGAATAAAAATCAAATTCCTTTTTAAGTGCTTTTTTTCAGAAAAAAAATAAAAATAAAAATATTAACAAACATGTAACTCATTCTTGCGCAGTTGCACAAATGTATAAATTAAGATTGTAGGAAGATTGAACAAACAAATAGATGGAACACAAACATATGAACCAATAACATGTTTACCATCTTCACCTTGTAATATATGCAACTCATGACATCGAAACTTTTAGTACCAAAAGTACATGTGCTAATTCACTATGATTTGCCTTCAGTAAATATATCCTGTTTTCTATATCCGGTTACTTTCTCATGCTCAGTAACCTTATTATTTCCTGATAATTCCCAGCCAATAAGAGAACAAATGGGCAATATAAATGGAGATTTATAAATTCCTACACATAAATATTCTCCGTAATCTCAATAGACAATAGATCCAATTCTCAATTCTTGAAAGCTGTTGGAAGACCATTTTTGAAACACCGAAGAGCAGAATCCACATTCAAACACTTTGATACTCTTTCAACAACAACAACAACAACATACCCAGTATATTCCCAACATGTTGGGGTCTGGGGGGTCAGTTGTACGTAGACCTTACCCTTGTAATTATACAACGAGGCTGTTTCCGTAGCGACCCAAGGTGCATTCCGCCGTTTGATATATTTTTTTTTTTCTAGAAACTTCACTAATAGAAGAAGCACTAGAATTTAATTGAGCCATTTTGATCTAGTCCATTATTAGCACTATGCCAGGAGAATTGTCAACAATGACTCTTCCAGCTCCATTTGCAATGGACAAATTTGATACTCTTTCAACAATTCCAAAAAAATATAAAAGACAGTTTTCTGACAAAAAAAGTGGAGCCATCCAATTAATCAATACAACATCAGAAAGAGCAGTAAATAATATCATCATAAAAAACTTACCCTCTTTCCCAATTCATAAGCCCGATCGAGAAGATGTGAATATTCCAAATCTTCAAAACATTTTTGTAGAGAAGAGAGAGGCTCATTGAAGTAGACTGGAAGACATACTTTAGTAAGATCCTTCCCGATGTTATCTTTAATCATTGACCACAAACTTACTCCTTTCTCTTTCTCAACGGGGTCAGGTAATTTCTTTCGACGCTTAACATTCGGAAAATTTTTTCCAGCAAATGTAATGGCAGGATCAATACCATCCTCAGATTCAAAAGCATGAATTCCATCATCATCAGATGAAAAAGATGATGCCCTAAAGTCGGACTCATTGCTTTTACGAGAACTAGATGAAAGGAAGTCTCGGGTGTCAAAGAAAGTATTATCTTCTCCATCCGTATCTTCCTCAGCCGCGTCCATTCTTTCATTGTCATCTTCAGATTCAGTCGTACTTTCTGGTAGCAGTAAACAAGGCAATGAGAAACTACAAAAATGCACATGCCACATAGACGATATGCCCACGGAAATATTATCAGTGCATATTACCCATAGTAAATAATAGTTGCTCATATAAAAGTCATACAGCTTGTAGTTTGCAAAAGTAAGAGAAAAAATAGAATGGCTGCATTTGAAAATCACACTTTATTTTATACACAACTGGACAAAAAGCCTTGCAAAAAGGGAATTCTAACACATAAGATCAACATGGTGATACTAGTTCTGCATGATTCACACTTATTTTATACACAACTGGACAAAAAGCCTTGCAAAAAGGAATTTCTAAAACACTAAACACATAAGATCAACATGGTGATACTAGTTCTGAATCATGCAGAGGTTCATTTGTTAATACACCCATGTGAAGCCAAAAGCGACGAAAAATAAAATGAGTGGAACTTACCACTAAACTTATCTCGTCTTAATCCAGATGATTCCCCCACATCATTTACCTGTCTCTGGCTTTCATCAACCACTGTATTTTCCAGATCCACCTTTTCTGTCTACACAAAAATTGCAGCAGTCAGAACACCTATTCATATATCAAGTGTTCCGTCAATGGCTCTGGTGAGTGTGGCATTAATCCACAATATAGTAAACAAAGATTTTTCGGAACAGATACAAAAGTCAATCAACTCCATGAGAGAGCGANAGGGAAACTTCATCTATAAGATCCATTGCGAGACCACTCAATTATGGCCACACAAATCAAAACAATTATGGCTACTGCATTCACCCCGACCCTCCCACCCCTCGACGGGTTGATGCACAAAGCCTAGTGAATGACAGCAGTTTCCCAGCCTAGAAGGCAATCTGAGAAGATTCCGAAATTTACATGCAAATGATACAATCCTAACATACCTCTAACTGGCCCAGTGTGTCCAAGAGGTGATAATACTTGTGCCTCAAGCCCATCAATTGATTTTGCAGTGAAGCAAACTCTATCCTCATGATCTGCTCACTGTCCTGAATGGCAGTCTCACTCGCACCTTCTTCCAACAACCTCTGCCTCAATCTTTCAGTTGAGACAGCTAAACTGTCCACAGGAGCCATTAACTCGCTATTGGAAATCCTTGGGAACATGTCTTTCACAGCCTGCAACGCTTCCACCCATGCCATCCGATCCTCTCTGCTCTCAGCCCTCAGATGGAGCCTCTTTGTACCAGTAAAAATTGAGAACCTTCTATCATCTGATCTGCTCTCTCGGATAGTTGAGACCTATAAAGAACTAGGCACTTGTAAAACACCAAACCATGAATTTACCCATAGTCATATGAACTAATGATAACCATCTATTGAATTATGGCAATACTTCACTACAAGTCAGTCATGAGCAAATAAGGTAAACAAATTAATTAAAGTAACAGGATAAATACCATATTTTCAAGAAACACAACTACGCAGGAAAGGAAGGAGACCATGAGATCTACTATCTGCCACAGAACACAATATATCTAAACAATCAATTCTGAATCCAAATCTCATCTTCCATTACAACCATAATTAGAACCCAAGTTCCGTAAGAGTAAAATCTAATATAGAGCTAAATAGTAATACATGCACTGCAATAAAGGTAAGACCATGATGAATAGAGCCGGAAATGAGATTTTAGCAAATAGTAAACAAATCGCATAACCATCTACATTCAAAAGATACACATCTCATAAAAACCTTGTTGAATGCATCTATCAACAGATTACTCTAATGCAAAAACAACATTCACCAATTGAACAGGAACAAAATAAGGAAGACACAACTCAATTAGAGACATGTTGAACCTTTAAATGAACTTCACCAACGGGCTTCCACTCTCTTGCAGATCCATTCCTATGATGATTGTGATTGTTTTGGTGCCGAGACAGCCGCCGCATAGATTCTTCCCCAATCACCGTCGACCCTTTCACAGTCTCCTGATTGACCACAATCCTGTCAGGCCCATGGATCTTATAATAACTCAACACCCCATCCTGCAGAACGAACCATCTCGGCCTCCACCCCTTCCCATAATTCACCCATTTGTACAAAATCCCAGAAACGCCATTTCCGGCTATATTGTTGATCTTCAACTCACGGCTATGATGGTTGTTGTTGTTGTTGCTACTGCCGACGACCGCTCCACCTGGAACCTGATCCGGCGGAAGCGAATCGCGCGCCGACAGGACCCGGCAGATAGTCGAGCTCCGGCTCATATTCAACGGATCGGAGGGCGAATCCGGCGTCACGTGGGAGTTCCCATGGATCGTCAACGATGATGTGGCGCAGCGGAAGGGATGCATAGGAGCGATATTGAGACTGAAATTGAGATCAGCATAGCTTTCACGCAATCTCCCGAACGGGTGCGCTTCCCATTTTCGAAGCTTTGACCGAATAATCAGTGGTGGATTAGATATAGAATTCTGTGATTAATTATTTTATAAATTTGGTGGAGAGAGAGAGTTTTCCGACGAACGTGGCGATGGGGTTTGGAAGGTCTTAGGTTCAGGGCGGCTGTTAATGGTGGCGGAGGGGCGGTTTGGGCCCCCGGGAAAGGAGAGAGTGACGGGTGGGTGAAGGATTTGGAGGAACGTGGCAAATGGCCTATTGACGGCACTTCTAAGAGCATCTCCAATGCTATGGTTTTGAAAGGCAATAATTTTTAACACATGTCAATTGATGATTGTAATGTTAATCCACATAGGAATAATGTTAAAAGACTAAAAATTTGAATCAAACTAGTATCTCCAATGCACCAATTTGATAAGAATTTATTTGTATAGGTGGGCCAATTATAATAATTCATTAATACAAGAATAATAAAAAATTAAATCAAATATAAAGTGAATTAATGAATCATTATGTTTAACATGGTGTTAGATATTAGAAAGTAAGTTCAACATTGTCAACATTAAAGGCCATCCACATCATCATGAAAGAGCTAATGACAAGATGCATTGGAGAATAAATTAGAATAAACTTTCAAAAGTTGATGATATGGATAATTTTTTGTAATGTCAAAAGTCACATTGGAGATGCTCTAAGAATTTTTGGGGTGATTAGTTCTGTGTGTTACTGAATTTTTATTTAGTTTTTAAATATAATTTAAGTTAATTTCATTTTTGTTGTTAGTATATTCGATAGCACAAGTTTATGTATGGGTCGTCATAATCGTGTGACGGGTATAAGAAAAGGTGAATACTTATAAATCCATTCTCCAAGCCAAAATAATATTCTCAAAATATTCTCTTTGACATCAATTTTTATAACTTTTTAATACTACTCACATATTTTATAATTTTATAAGTTAAACCACACTATTATTTTCAATTCAATTTGAACTTTATATAATAAACTAATTATAAAGTAATAATCATATACATAATAAAATTAGAGAAATAAATAATCAATAAAAATTAAAATTTAAAAATTATAACACACAATATAATATTAAAAATTACAACGCACAAGATGATAAATAAAAATTACAACACACATGATGAGAAAAAAATATAAAATTAATATGTATATTTACACTACTATTGTGAACAAATATAAAATAATATGTTATTATTTTAAATCTAGTAAATAAAAAAAAAATAGAAAATTTTAGTATGTTTTAAACTCATTTTTCAAATACATAAGCATTCTCAATCACAAAAATTAAATATAGGTTGAATTTATTACTTTTTAAAGAGATAAGGGTCAATTAAAAATAAGAAGCAAAAGTGAAGGACTCAATTGAAATAAAAAAAAATAAAACGCATCTTTTGTGTCGAGGGGCAACGCATTTTGCGATCCAATATGCAGTTCGGTTGGGCCGATTTTGCTGCAAAAAATGGGTTTTGGTGTTCGTTTGAAGAAGGTCTAATATCATAATACAAGTGGAATTAATTTTTTGCTGGGATTGACTTTTTTTATGAATGATATAGTTTTATATGTAACACAAAATGCAGACTATAAACAGCTAAATAGTGAATAAATCAGTTGCCGAGCTGAATTTAGTTGAGAGGATTACAAAAATGCAGTGTAGAACCAATCCAAACTAACTCTCAATACGAGAATAGAGAACTCTCACAAGTAAAGACTACGAGTGACACAATCCAAATAGGAGAGAAAAGAAACAAAACACAATAAAACACAAGAAAAGATCTAATAGGTAGATTTAAATCTTCCCCGACTACCGCCAATTCACTCCAAAACGCCCCAAGCAAACCTAAGGCACAAGGCAGCCACCCTAGAAGGCCCAACCCTCTGCCCACCCTACAAGGCAGCCTCCGTCCCGTGCACTAACTTCGCCGGTGGAGAGGCACAAAAATACACCCAGGGTCGGAAACTAGGTTTAGGGAATTTGAGATTTTTATTTTCTCTTTCTAAAAATCAGGGAATAGTTCTAAAGGAGGAATTATTAGAATCAATAAAAGTTTTGGGATTAACATTGAAGTGGTGATTTTTCTTTTTCTAAAAAGAGGATAAGGATTGACGTTATAGTCAAACTATACAATTTAAGTCTAAGGAGAACGTGCAACTAATTAATTAATGAACACATTTTTATATGTCAAAAGTTGCTAACTTTTTTTTTTTAAAGTTCAACATTTTTATGCTCTTAAAAATTTTATATGGACTTCAGGTGGTTTGATTAGAGCATCTCCAATGAACTCAGTAAATTGCAGTTTACGTGGCAATTAAATAGAAGGTTTTTTCTCGAATGGACTAAATCACTCTCCAATGATAAATGTGCAAACATCACGTATTTTTTTTTTTTTTTCATGAAATCATAATAGCACTCTTCGTCAATTTCATTCACAGTTTTCGAGTAAACATAGACAAAGTACGCCTTTATTTATTGAGAAAGTATGTTTCTAAGTGTAATATTTATTTTTGTAAGAGCATCTCTATCCTGTATTCATTCGTATTTTTGTTAAGAGAACAATTATATCCAACTCGCTGCATTATGATGTTTTCCTTATTTTCTTGTTGTATTAAATATGTTAATACATATCCCATTAAATTTATAATATAATTTTATAAATGTATCATTTTTTTTATTTTTATTTATGTAAATTAATATGCTTTTTGATACAGTGTATAAAAATAAATACCAAAAAACTATAATTTAATCAACGACTTACATTATAAATTGATTTTTTTTTTCAAATTTAGTTAATATTTTTGTAAATACTAGATACATGTTTTAACAAATAAAACTGACCGCGCGTCGCGACACGGCAAATTTAAATTTATAATTTTCCTCAACTAACCTCTACTAACTAGTAGTAGTGGCGAGTAAGGGTCGATCCCACGAGGAGTAGGAATTAAATTGTGACAATCTCGTATTAATTGAATTAAACTAGGAAAGCAATAAAAGATGGGGGGAATTGGTTTTATAAAATAAAAATAAAAATAAAAATAATAAAATAAAAATAAAAGATCAAATAAAATAAGAGAAGTCCAGTTTTCGGTTCAGTTATCACCCAATCTAAATCTACCGTTAATTAATTTTGACGCTTTCTCTATAATGCTAATGAATTACCAACCCTAGCTAACAACAAGCTCTGTTAACCGAATTTTCCCTTACTGAATATTTAATCGAAATAAGCTCTTCGACTAAATCTAACTAGCGGACAACCTAGAATAAGCTCTCTAGATTTAATACACTAGCAGCATTAATTATGAGAAAAATAGATCAGTCTAAGCAATGGACGCAAAAGCTCGGACCATTTAACTTATGTTCACGCTACCCTAGAGATGCGCGACCCCTAGTTTACTACTAACGAAACAAGTCAATAACAATTACGGATTAAAGTCTCGAATCTAGCAATTAAACTATGAATATTTAACGTAGTTGGTCAGACTAAATCAAACACCATAATTCATAAACTTTATACACAGATAACATGAATCAACTCATCAACAAAAATAAATACGGCGTCTCGATTAATCAACGATAAAAATAAATCCTTCAATCCATAGACAAATCAAAGTTAGGGTTCAAACATCCCCTCAAACTGGATAAAATCCTAGCCTAACATACTAATAAAAATGAATAAAAAGATAAAAGAGAGAAATATAAAAATATCTCCCTCGTGTGCGATTGCGGCTTCCCTCCGCCTGCGTGAATTTCTTCTCCGTCTGTTTGCGTGAGTTTCTTCTGCCTTTCTATCTGTTCTCCTCGGCTTTCTGTCCGTGTCCCAAAAAATAATTCCGTGTGTGTCGTCTGTGGCTTGGAAATTAATTCAAGTTTCCTTTTGCTATTCAAACTCTTCCCAGCCAATAAGATTTAGCCCACAACTAATTCAGCCACCAAAAATTCTCCTCCTCAATATTAGTTGCGTTTTGAACCTTTGACTTCTTTGGCCCAATTATTTAACAGACTTTGGGCTAATATATACTTGATAAACTCTATGCTAATCCGTGGGCCAAATTAGCGGGTATTGGATGCCTCGCTAATGAATTACGTGAACTCCGTTCAATGCATCGATCCACAAGATACTCCAATCAGCTGAAAATAAATAAAAAAATAATAGTGTGTATGAATCCATCCAAATAATAAATAAATAGAAAAATATAAATGTGCGAATAAATTAAGTGTATAAAAATACACTATTAAACATATAAAATAAGCACATTTTTCTACCTATCAAAAACAATCATTACATAAATATTATTATATTTTTTAACTTTTATTTTTTGTTAATTGTATCATGATAATTTAAATATATATAAAATAATATATTTAAGACTTCTAGAAGTACTTTAACATGTAAAAAGACTTCTAGAATAATTCCATCTCTTTCATGCCACATAACAGAAATAGAAGTAAGGTCCATTGGAGATGCTTTTACAATTCGCAATATGCCAAGAACGGGAAAAATCGAATAAATCTTTTGCTAAAACCGTCGGATCCTAAAATTCATCAAAAAAATAAATGGGAAAAATTGTCTTTTTTTTTTTTGTTCAAAATGACATTTTTTGCTGAATTTATCACTTTTAAAATACTTTTGAACATTTGTGCGAACAGTAAACGTAACTGTGTGTTCATTAACCGGTTACGAACAACCAAGTAAAGGTTACTGCTGTAACTTGTGGTTCGACGAATTCGTAAACTGAAACGTGTTTAAGTGTTATATTTACACACGTGTTATTCATCCTAAAACACGATATGTTATGTAAATTGAACATGAGATCTAATCATGCTACCTACACCTCATGCATACTTTTTCATAATCCAAACTAAAGCTCTCATTAAAAACCAATATTTACACTTGTCTCCATCAACCCTTCATTTCCATTGGCAATGGTAACATCAACACATACACAACTCGGACAAAGAAAACAAAATCAAGAAAACCCTTAATCCTTTTTTTTTTTTCCCCTTTTCTCAAATAAATATAAAAATTTGAAAAAAGGGAAGAAAGACTATCAAGAAAAAATCCAGCCTCTAAGACCCTCAGCCAACAGAAGCTTGTCAATGACCAATTTCTCCCCGAACCTATATGAGAACCTCATCCCGCCCTGCGAGTTCACGCAGCCCCTCTGTACCGGAAAACACAAAACCGCAGCTCCACCGCTACCTTTCGAGCACTCGAAGAGCTCCTTCATGGAGGTGTGGACCTCTCCCACATACCTGTCGTAATAAGAATTTTCAATATTTTTTTAATCAAATTTTAAATAATGGTATAGTTTAATTTGAAAAGTTTGTAAAATATGTATAGCTTTTACTTATTTAATAAATATTCTTTGATAATTTTCTTTTATAATTAATTTTATTACATAAATTGCAAATCAAATTTAAATAACAGTATTGTTTAATTTGTAAAGTTGTAAGAGTACATGTGAGTAATATTGAAAAGTCGTAAAGTTGATGTAAAAGAGAATATTTTGAAAATATTCTTTTGGGCTAAGTTTTTCGATTGAAGATAAATTACTATTTGATGGGGCAGTTACTGCAAAATAAATTTGACAATGAGTTTTTCAGTTGGTCTTACCTTTATGCATTCTATTGCGATATATAAATAAAATTGTCAATATAAATTGTTATTTCTCATAAAAAAATTTTGTTCTTTTGTTTAGTATGATTGAAGTTTGTGGTTTCTATTATACTTCTATTTATAGATTCTTAAGTATACCTTTAAAGCTCGTTTTTTAATCCAGACATATATATTAATACTTTTCACAATAACTATTACCTATCGCCGAGCTTCCGTTTGCAATATAATTTGACGACGAGCGACGAGTTGTGACTCTCGAGCATGCGCTCGCTTATCGTGTACCTCATCGTGAAGTTCCAAGCAGGGTTTGTTTGCCCGTGCTTGTCGGGTGGGGTCCGCTTCTCGTTGGTAGGGGGCCTGTGCCCACCACCACCAATAGAGACTCGGGCGTAGACCTTCATCTTGCATATTTTTCGGACATCCTCAAGGTCGTACGCTGATATTAGGGTTATTTCGAACGTTCGACACTCCATTTTTGGAATGCTCTCTCTTTGTGTGTGTGTGTGTGTGTTTCTCTCTTTTTTGAGTTATTTTCAAAGGAAAATGAGGGTTTTATATGTGTACATATGTGTTGCGTGCTTAATTACATGACCAATGAAACAGCCAAGAAATAGAGGATTTTTATGTTGAAGTAGTTTTGTAGTTGGTGGTTACTTGCCAAGTATAACATAACGCCATATTAAATAAAATAAAATAAAATTAGAATATTTGATGATTTTATAATCTAGTTTGACATTTTAAGTCATTTTTTACATTAAAATGTTCGAATTTCAACGCTAGTGTAGGTACACTATCCCTCTTCCTTTTATATATAATTTCAGAATTTCAGAATGTGCTGAGCTTACGTGACAAACTCTCATGTTTCAGAATCCTATTTGGCAAAAAAATCGTGGTTTGGAGTTAGGCTTGGATATAAATTAATATTTGTATTAATTGTATTCCAATATCATTTCCTATTATAACCATTAAATTGCAAATATATTTTAAAAGTTAATAACTTTTGTATTTCTTATCGGTTTTATATATATAATATATCAAATTAATCATATTTTGATGAGTTTCGATTTGAGATCCATATTGTATTTATAAAATAAATAAATTATATTTATCTTTATAATAATAAAATTATTTATTAAAATTAATTAGAAAATAAAATTATTTATCAATTAATATATTTATGTTTAATGTAGTTATATGTTATAAGGTGAAAAATTTATTATAATATAACACATATAAGTCACACAATTTAACATATGTCATATTAAAATATATAATAATATATACTCCCTCCTATTTTTATTATTTGTCACTTTAACTTAATTGATCATTGATAAAATAAATGTCGTTTTAGATATTTTGTTCATATTTTTTCATTTTTAACCATCCATCCAATACATAGTGTCTCTTCATATCCCATCTCCATCATTTCCCATAACATCCATTAAATATGGTTAATATTGTCAATAAAAAAAATCTTAATTAGTGTGTTGCATTTAAATTGATACTAGTAAATATCCTGTGCACATGCACAGATGTACATAAAATATAATAAGTAATATTTGAGAATTTAATATTTAAATTTTAGTTAATGAACATATTACATTTTTAAAACTTAATCATTAGGAAAAATAAATTAATGATTGTTTATTATTATGAACAATTATTAATTATCATTAGATAATAGAAGTTTGATTATTATTATTATTATTATTATTATTATTATTATTATTATTATTATTATTATTATTATTACAAAAAAAATTATTTATAAGATTTTAAAGTTGTTTGACTATGCTATTAAAACAATTTACTAATTGTTTTTAAAGAAATTTTTTCATGAGATACAAAAGAAAAAGATAATATTGCTGTCAAAATAAATAACTTGAAACAATTGTTTATAATTATGCAATTTATATTTATTGTAAATTATTATATGTTGGCATTAGCATTAATTATCATATAATATAATAGAAAAATACATGATCACACTCAATAGGATGTATTAATGTGAGAAGTAAAAAACATTAATGATAAATTTTGTAACCGAAAATGGAGGAAAAATTTTAGAGGTTCTATTAAATAGGTTTAATTAAATGCTATTAGCTAGTAATTATATATACTAGTATTCGACCTTGTGCATTTGCACACATGTAAATAAAATTAAATATTATAAGTTATATTTATGTATATAATATAAAAATTATAACTTATATCATTGTATTATATTTCAAACATATAGTATTATAAGTTATATTTATGTATATAATATTAAAATTATAAATTATATAATAGTATTATATTTTAAAATTTGATCATTGGTTAAAATAAATAGTACACACGATTTGATTGCATACGAATCACTATATTGATTGCATAAAATGCAATAAATATATACTTTTTATAATTTTGAGTGATCATAACCAATTAATTAGCTGAAAAATATTACATTTATTATAACAATTGCTTATGTGATTTTAAGAAATTTTACTATAATATAAAAAAATTAATTTATTAATAAACAACATCTTCATCATATAAAAAAATATTGATTTTAGTGTAAAATATAATTTTATGTAACTTTCATATATTATTTAGTATAAAATATAATTACTAATTTTAATATTAACTATTATATTATTCAATAAAAA